ATTTATTCCATTAAATTCTCTTTGATTCCCCTTAATTCTTTCTATACCCTGAATCTTTTCGTCCTTATTCTCCTGAACTGTTGGCGGAGATTATCTGAAACTAAATCCACTGATGATGAACAGTTGTAAATGTCGCAATCGCTGTCAAATTGCTGGGGAGCCCGAAAGATTGATGATGTTGACTGGGGATAAAGGGGGAATTCAGGAATAATTAGCCCAGCTGAAAGCTATCCAACCTCTTTTTCGCCCAGCAATTTAGGACAGGCCACATTAAATTAAAGCCAAGTCAGTGTGGATGGCCAGGAAAATTGATCCTTATTGAATTGGAGCCGGGTTTTCGGGTCTGCATTTGATTGATGCATAGACGAGGCGTGCGGCTAATTGATTGATTGATTGACATCGATTGAAATACCAGGATAATTGGAGTCACCTTCACCAGAAATTCCCAAATTTGGCGACAAATTTTCAGGGCAAAATGGAAATCTCAGTGGGTGTCTAAAATAAAGCCCAAAATAAAAGTTATAGAGACACACACACTGAGTGGCACAATTAGGACGCAATTCAAACAGCCGGCAGACATGTCAAAAGTTGCTTTATTGGTTTAGCACATTCAGGAAATGGCATAGGCAATGCCAGCAAAATAGCACAACAAAACAGGACGAGCAGAGGAAAAACATCGAAAGAAATCCTAAAAAAAAAAGAAATAAACTTGCATTGAACGAAGCTTTGGGTATCCTGGAAAAATCCGTTGGCAATTAATCTGGCTTTCAAAAAGTTGTGGTCAAAGATTTGTTAGTTCAACTATTTAATAACTACAGAAATAAAAATTTTAAAAATAATTTAACAATGCATAGAATCTGATTTTCCAGCTGTTGAAGGGTATGGCAAAATCTCGAAAATCAATGGGTCTCAGAAGAAATTGCGACTGCGTTCTCTGTTCAGTATCCATCCTCTATCCTCGATTTCCTTTCTCTCAATTTTCCCCTCTATTTCCGCCTGTCTGTCTATCTGTCTGTCTGCGTTGGCATGTACACAACATGCGGGCTTTGAGGCTGCACTGAAAGAAATACTGCTAAAATCAAGAAGATGTTCTTAGTTCAAGTGAACAACATGTTTTGAAAAATGTTTTTTTTTTTTTTTTAAATTTATATTCTTAACTTGATAGGAATTATGAATTACCATACCAATGAAAATATAATTAAATCCATTTTTTTTTAGGCTTGAGTGCCTGATTTTTGCCATATATTCTGCCAGTGTGTGGATGCCGATGTCGTGTCAGTGTGTCCGTGTGTCTGTTTTCTGTCTTGGCCAACACGCAGGGTTCTGACCACACCTACGACCCGGCCACGCCCACCACAAATCGCCGCCCTTAAGGTTGTGCAAAAAGCAGAAGGACGAACCAAGCCGAAACGAAAGAAAAACAACATCCTACTAACTGATTAAATTTATGCGCCCTTTGCATACGAATTCGGAAGGCGAGCCAGAAAAAAAAAACCAAATTAGGCAAACCAATTTAACCAAAGGACGGGGGAAGTGGCCCGAGCTAAACTAATTGTTTCTCGCAGGACTTTTTATTAGCCGACTTTAGCCAGTCTCAAGTGTAACTAAACTTGACACAACAGGACTTAAGTTGGTTTGCCATTGCAAATGTTCTCGTACTTGACTTCTTTTACCTGATTAAAGACCAAGGAAATTACGCAACAAAAGTTACAATATGTTAGGATAATCTGAGACGATAATGAAATAAAATCAAAAATATAATTTATAAATTGTTACTCGAAATAGAATAGAATAATATTTCACTTAACCTATTTTCTTAAACATTGACCAGTCAATTCTAAAATTAAGTGACTTATAAATAAATTTAAATACCACACAAATATACAGTTTACTACAGATATGACTAATATATTTGGTTTAAATATTTTAAAACGTACTTTTTAAAACATTTCATGGGAACACCATTAAATTATTATGAGTACAAATAACATCATGTTTTATACACCAAAAATAAGTTTGATTGTATGGACAACCTACATTTAGAGGAATTAAAATAAAGTAAATAAAACTGTCTGTCCCATCCACACACTTGTTGAATTAAGCCACGCTCCACCTCTTTTTCACTTTTTCCCCATCAAGACACTTGTCATTCGTCAACTCTCAAATTTAAGCCTCACAGTTGGCAGCTATTGTTCTCAAACAAATAAGAAGAAAAAATAAAATCAAAAAACAGATAATTCAAAAATATAAAGCTTCCTGAACATATCTAAAAAGCTGATGGTGTTTAAAATTTTTTCGTAAGCTGAAATTTCCAAAGAATCGTGCGTTGTTTCAATAACAACAATACGATTTTCTGCGCTCTTATTATTGTTATTGAAACGATGCACGATTCTTTGAAAATTTCAGATAGCTTTCCACGGGAAAAACAGAAAAACCGACAAGAACAAACAAGGTGTAATTGTATGACGCTCTCTTTCACCCACCCATATAGCCCTCTCTTTCTGGTGGGTGGTTTATGGGCGAAAAACATTTATTCGTATTATTCGCATGCATGTGCGTACATATAATATAAGTCACGTCGCGCATATCAACATCAATGGCCACAAAGCGCAGCATATCAATATACATAAGTACAGGGTGTCCTTGGGGAAATGGCCGGGATGTCCATAAAATTAATGAACATATCAAAGTCCTGGGGCTCTTGAACTTAAATTGGGGTTACACCAAAATTGGGAACAAACAAATTTTTTAATCCATTTGTCAGAAAACAAAATTTAGCACTGAACGTTAAATTGTTTGCTTAGTTTAGAGAAAGGAAAACAATTTGAGATTATTAAAGTTAAAAAAATTCAATGATCGTCTTTGAAAACCCATATTGTATTTATTTAAAATAACGTAAACTTTTGGTATTGCCCTAAAAACAACACAAATATTTTTCTTTAATAATTAGGAACACATTTTTTCATCAAATTGACATAGTTTAGAATCTTACATTAATGCTTAAAAGAATGCGGTGGTACTGATTTCAGCTAAAGTTTTTTCATTTATTATAATTATTATATAGAAATTAAATATATATTTTGTTGGTTTAGTTTATTATTAATTTTTTGGTGTCCAAGTTTAACAAATTTATATTTCAATTTCACGTTTTTTCCCCCCGATGCACCCTATATTTTTCGTTTCCTTTTTTGGTCTCTAACCACCTCTCGCTCGCACATATGCAAGACCATGTCCTTTATTGTGTGGAGTCTTCCTCTTCCGCTGATGCTGCCGTCTCTTTCTTATGCTGCTTTCTTTGTCTCATGACGAATGTCACTTTCACGCTTTCTCCCTCGTTCCTCTTTCTCACTCCAGCTATCTTTGGCTCTCGTTCTCCCTCTTGACGGTGTTGCTTTCATTTGTTTTCAGTGTAGAAGAGGGGGTACAAGAAAGAAGAAAGGAGGAGGAGGAGAAAGTGGAGAAAGAAAGGAAGAAGAAGGGGGGCGAAGAAGAACAGCAACAGTTGTGCCCATTGTACTGCTTTTGCCATGTTGTTTGCTGCTTGCTATTGTTTTTCATATTTACACACTTTCCTAATGACATGTGCGAATTTGTAAAATCATTTCAACAATCTTAATTTAATTTTGGGTAATATTCAATGTCTTACTTTAATTTTCCGTCACAAAAATATTAGATACTCGTATATTATTAATTAATTTTATGATCTATAATATCTGTTTAATACTAAAAATAACTATTGTAGGTGATTTTACTTTTTTTTGCTACAAAACTTTTGGAGCCATTTTTAAAGGTTCTGGCAATATACTCTAAATTTGTATTGTCTAAAAATGTTTTATTTCTGCTAACAAACGATGGAGTCAAAAATATAATACAAATATTTAAACAAGAGTTCTAAGACAAACAAAAGGAAAGATTTTAAGCCTCGAATTTGCAATAGTACTATAGTACGAAGTAATATACTTATTATATATATTATTATATAATGGACTTATTAAAATTCAATAAATTGATATTTATTATATCGTTTCACGTAAAAGTAGGCCATTGTTTTCCGTAAAGTTGGCTATTACATAACTTTAGCTTCTCAAGAGTATTCTTGACTTCGTTGTGGAGGGAACAGCAGGCCTCCATTCTTGGGTTATAACCATTTTTATGCGCTCGAATTGCTGATGGGTTTCGGTGGTCGAGGTCTCCGATTCGGATTGCGAATGGGAATGGAAATGGGCTTGGAATGGGGACCTTGATGGCTTTTGCTTTTTGCTTGCGTACTCTTTCAACTTGTTGCTTTTTATTGCGGCTCATGTGAGTATGGGCACATTGCCGCACGAGTATGAGTACGTTTCTGGGCGTAACTTTAACCTTTCACCCTTGGAGCAACAACAAAAGTAATCAAGCTAACCGATTCAGTGCACTCCAAATGCGTCGTTAAAGTCCAGCTGCTCAGCTGTCTTCGTTTTATTTCCCCATTGTTTGGCATTGTTTAAAGGAAAAGTCTTCGTTCTGGAAAATTCAACCTCATTGGTTTAAGATGCTTAAGATTTTCTGCAAATTGACAATACGAATATCCTTTTAAGTTTTAAGTATGTGGCTTAAAATCCAGGGGAAACCAATAGCGATTCAAAGTCATGTCTCGTTATTCTTTTTTAGGTAATTTTAAAACACAGCTGGAATTAAAAATACAGAGAAATCCAATTGCCTAGAACTTGAATATTACTAACGTCTTTCTTGAGGAAATAGTATAAAATAGTTTTTTGCAATTAGCCGGAATTGAATGTTATATGTCTGATCACCTGTAAAAAGAAATGTACAAAATTTGCCTAATTATTATACATTTCTTTCATCACCTCCCTCAAAATCGTTTCAAAACACTCGTAATATTTTTTTGTATGCAATTTTATACCATAGCCGTGATTCTATTTTATTTACCAATCAGAAGTTCTGAGGAGGTAGTTGAAAAAAAAAGGGTGAATGAAAGGCGGTCTTGGCTGGATGGTCTGTCCTTAACCCCTGTTCTTGCGCCGCCTCTTCTCCGCAGCACGCTTCTTGCGGGCGGCCTCACGCTTCCTGCGTGCCTCACGCCTTGCTCGGGCGGCCTCACGCTTCTTGCGGGCGGCACGCCTCCTCCGGGCGGCCGCCTTCTTTTTGGCGGCCGCGGACTTGGAGCTGCTGCTGGTCTTGGAGGTGGCCGTGTCGCTGCTGCTGCTGCTGCTGCTGCTCGCCGAGGTGGCGGTGTCGGAGGAGGACGAGGATTCGGTGGTTGTGGTGGTGGTGGTGTCCGAGGTGTCCGACGAGGCGGTGGTGGTGGTGGTGGTGGTGGTGGCTGTGGTGGAGGTGCCAGTGCTGCTGGTGTCGTCCAGGGCACAGATCAGGACAACTGCCAAAAGCAGATAGTGGAACTTCATCTTGACTCAATGTTCGGCGAAAGACTGGATGATGTTTTGCAGCATCGGCGCACCATATTTATAGCTGGGGTCGCTCTGCGTCATTGAAGCCACAACAATGGCCGCAAGCCAACATACGTTAGCAAAAATTCATGTTTTTTTTTCGGTGACAGTCACGCTCTAAGAGTTATTTGCACAAATGCTAACTATTTATCCAGATAAAACTCACAATTTTATTAGGCAAGTACTCGCAAATATACGATCTCTATTAGTATTCTTGTTATTTCGGGGGAATCTTCATTCATGGATTTTTTGGTAGCTTCATCACCGATTTCATTGATCAATTGGGGTCTTCTCTAAAAAGCTTAAGCAAATATTTTGTCTGTTTTTTATTAAAAACACTTTTAAACAGGGAGAAGCGTCTCGACTTTGAGATACCCGTTACTCAGCTTACCAATTTTCCTCCAACTGTTGAATACTTTTCAACGAATACAATATACCCTTTTACTCTAAGAGTAACTGGTTTAGCAGCGAAAAACAAATTTACTGGCATTGAACATGAACTTTGTTTAGAACAAAAAAAAACATTTTTCGCCACATTTGTTTACTCTTTAAATATTTGACTAGTTTAAATTTAGATTGCCTTTAGAAAATCTTTATCACTTTCCAAAGGATAATAGCACTAATAATATGGTAAGGGCTACGCAAAAAGTTATTTTTAACTTTATTTATTATATTCTCCGACCCTTAAAGTATATATATTCCTGATTAGCATCACATAGCTGCCATAGAAACGATCGAAAAATGTGTATAGCATCTTTAAAACCTAAGTTAAACATATCCATTGCATTAAATTTGAAATTGAATTGCTACAAATTTCATCATGCTGTTGAAAAATCCGACACATTCAACTTTATGTGAATATTTCAGCTGGTAAACTCCCCGCTTTTTGCCCAGCCTTATAAATTACTCTGAAGTAAATATTCAAATATTCGGCTGCAGCTCTTAACGGCTTCATCCTCGCTCGCTGTTTTTTGTGCAAATTTATGCGCTTTTAGTAATTGTTCCGTCCGAAAAGAAGAGGCAACGGAAGTGCAAAACATGGCCAAATGGAAAATGGAGCTCTTTTTTGTGGGCTTTAACAAGAATGCACTTTAACACCAACGAATGCTTGAAACTCAATCACGAGCCGTGGTTGCTGGCTTTCATCGATTATAATCAATCAATCAACGTGCATAATTAAACTGCTCATTAGGCGCAAAGTTACACCTGGAATCACGCATCGTCTCGAATTTCTTCACAAGAGAGCGGCTTTTTATTTTCGTATTTGCGTATTTAATTGCACCAAACAAACGGACAAAAACTAGATGAAAATTTACATTTACAACATCATGTCTCACAAAAGAGAATTTGGAATTTTCATAGATTAAAAAAGGCACAACCTAAACAAATTAAACAGACAAATTTTTTGTTCTGTACAAAATAATAAATAAGCTGGTTACATTAAATTATATTTATTTGCAATTTTTAATAGTGATTATAAAAGTAGTAATTTATAAAAGCCGTAACAACTAACATGACTTTCCCAAGTTTAATAAAACCTGTTTGAATCGTACAGTCTGCTTTTTGATTTACAATTTAAATAAAGCAGTGAAAGTGTTGGAAATGTGTAATTGAAAAGGCAATCTGTTTAATTTGAGTTGAATCCCCGAGTTTGGGAACAGTATAGTTTTCGTTTGGAAAACAGGTCACTGATGTCCACCTCCATCATCCCCATATCGACCTTTATGTCCACAACAAGTCAGTGTTTCCATTTGATCCATTGTGAGGGACTCCCAGCAAAATTAATGGCATTCGGTTGTTGTTTGTTTTCTTTTTATTATTTTTTGGCGAAGCAACAACTACTGGATTTGCGGGCATCAATCAATAAAATAACTCGACACAAGTTTGCGGAGTCAACTTTGGATGCATGACCACACGGAAAGAAAGGTTACTAAAGATCTGGAAATATTTTTGTATTTTTTTTCCTTTTCATCAGGGACATGTTTGCATCGTTGATTGTATCATTTTGTTTGAAAAATTATTTAAATCTAGTTATTAACAGTTATTTTGTTTCTTTAACAAGAATACAATTTCAATAAAAAAGTAGGCAGAAAATAAAATAATTGTGTTTAAGCTATAAAAATATAGTCTTCAACTATGTATACAGCCTTTTCAAGTTTAAATATTTTATATAATTTTATTAACGAACAGAAACATTAGGAAAATGAATGGCAATATGAAAATGTTCCACTAGAAGCAAGGTAAAATATTTCTCCGAGTGCACTGCTCCTAGTCATTGGAAGTCACTTATCAAGGCTCAAACACACACAAGGAGCAAAGGTCGGTGGGGAATCCCGAGGGCGTGGCAAAAGGATACGGAGGATGTGAGCCATCGATGCCCCAATGCGTATGGCTGCATCCCCGGAACAGATCTCGAATTATTTGCCATCAAAACGCTATTGATTTATTAATGCCGCTCATCATTCGACAAGTAGAGGGAGCTTTCCGGTCCCGCATCGTAGACATTAATTTTGCAAATGTCTCAATAAAAATCAATAACAAATATACGTATATCCTGCTTTATGGCTCTATCAGGAGGGTTGTATAACAAAAAAGGCCAACGAGCTTTCAGCCAAAATTATTGAGGACATTTGCTTTCGATTTGTTTCAATTAAAGTATGGAATTTATCGCTTTAGATTTTTTTTAGAACTAGAAAAATTAAAAGATTTTTTTTTACTAAAGCTACACTTTCAACGGAATTCTGTAAAGAAATATTGCAAGCTTATGTTAATATTTAAAATAAAATTTAATACATTTTTAAAGTATTTATTTAACACATTTGCCAATAAAATGGTTTATGTTAGAAAATATTTTTATTCTTTTGAATTGTTGAAAGCATAATTTAAATCAAATGAAATCGCAAGTCCAAAAAAAATGGTTCATTGCTTTCTACTACGAAACATAAAATTAAAGCATTGAACCAAAATTGTCAAAACCATTTAATTTCGACTTGCGACTTAATTTAACATGTTTCGTAGTAGCACCTGGATTTTATGGCTACATTTTTTCTACACTAAAATCTTGATCTATTTTTACATTGGCAGTAATATCTTGCGTTTTTTCTCACATATCTGAGGGCTATTTTTTTTTACTTTCAGCCCGAAAACTATGCTTTATTTTAACAACAATAATTAATTGCGTAATGGCAAAGCCACAGATTTACTCAAGTGGAGTTGTCTCTGCCAGTTTGCTCAGTGGTTTTCGTTCTTCAAATTCGAGCCCACACCATCTGACGTCTCCTTTGTTATGGAAATCGTGGCTGTAGTTTTCCTGTTTTTTCCTTTTATTATTTTCCATTACACATGTATGCAAGTGTACGGTATCTATGGCAACAGCTTTTCGAGTTTTCCCCTTTTTTGAACAGAAAAGTTTTTGCCCACGAGTATTTCGCCGCTTGCTAAATTTTCCTTTTGGGGCTTTTGCGGGTTTTCCCCGAGCTTGTGCTAATGTATTTTAATGGAAATACAACTTCGGAGGCCCAAAAGTCTTAACCAATAAATACTTAATGGTTAATGCGTATGCATTTTAAATTACTTATGAACAAAATCAGATATTTTGGATTATTATAAAGATTAGGGCCTTTTAAAACATAATTTGTACACCTATCACAAGGCTTTGAATTTCATTGCATCCTTGTTGCTAAGCTATGAACAAGAATTGTCGGGATTCCTTCCTGAGCTTGGTTCCCTGTTCCTGGAACGTCGTCCTGACCTTCTTGGTCGCAGTGGATTCAGGCAGATGGAGAGTTCGAGTTCTGCAGTGATCTTCATGGCGCACGCCTCTGGGTTTATCCTCATCTGCCAAACTGTGTCAGCCGATTTGGGCCAAAACAAAGATAATGATTTTGGCAAAACAAATAAAATTCGCAATTGTTCGCTTCAGCGCATTTGTTCAAACAGCCTAGAAAGTGAAGTGCAAATATTTACTTAAATTGCTTCTGATGTGTGAGACCTTACAAATTATATATTCCGTCTAAGAGATTTGGGGGGATTATATAACAGAGCGATGGAGTATAAAAGGCCATGGCGGTGTGGCTCAAATCATCAGTATCCCATCCACTGGCCATCCAACATGAGGTTCACCTGTGTTCTTTCGCTGTCCACCGCGGTCGTCTGCTGTCTGCTGATCGGGCAGACCAGTGGAGCCACTCCCCCGCCACGGCCACCACAACCACCACGGCCGCGGCCGTCACGACCACCACCACGGCCGCCACAACCACTGTCGCCGCGGACACCACCACCACAGCCTCAGCCACAACCACGACAGCGGCCACCGACACCAAGAAGATCTTTGTTATACACCGTTATGGGGAAACCACAAAGCCAAAGGTAGAGGGTAAAATCCATGGCAGACGCGGGAAAGGAAGAAGAGGCAGCAGCGAAGAAAGCGGCAAATGGGGCAAATGGGGCCACAAAGGCGGCAAGAGCGGCAAGAGCGGCAAAAGCGGCAAGAGCGGCAAGAGCGGTAAGAGCGGCAGAAGGAGCGGCCGTAGGAATCGAGCTCTCGAGTACGTCCTTGGCTCCATTTAAAGGACCCCCACCACCCACTACCCACCACTCTGATCTGATCCCGATGACTACAGTGACTCTTTTTTTATAGTTTTTATTTTTTGATTACAATTAAGGCAAATACATAATATCGATATTAACTGGTGATGATTTTTTATATAATTTAAATTTGAACTTCTTTAAAAACTTGCTAAATACGCCTAGAATTTGCATTAAATCGATTGGGAAACTGCGTCCTGCAGGTCATTTAGACCCATGCGTCTCAGTTAAATCTTTAAAATACTCTCCCTAAAATTTTGGAACCAATTTTTATACCCTTGCAGAGGGTATTATAATTTCAGTCAAAAGCTTGCAACGCAGTAATATTTTCTTGATCAGCATCACCAGGAGAGTCGATCTAGCCATGTGCGTCTGTCCGTCCGTCCGTTTCTACGCAAACTAGTCCCTCAGTTTTAAAGCTATCTGCTTAAGATCCCATTGGAACAATCGCAAAAAAAAATTCAAAACAAGAAAGGAAAGCTAACTTCGAGCGGAGCCGAAGTTGACATACCCTTGCAGAATATTCTGTAAATTATATAAAAATCCCAACTTCCTAAACTTACAAGAACGAAAGTTATGGCATTTTCGATCAATCAGTTATATGGCAGCTTTGGATATAGTTCTGAGATAGTAAATAATTTCTAAATCTCAAATTAATATTTTAATAAATAGAAAAACACCAAAATAATTTTTTTTTAATTTTTTGGATTTTTCCATGGGATATACAAGTATGATATAGATGTCCGATTTTAATTTAATGAGAACCGTAATTTTAAATTATTTAAATATTACCAAATCCCAAGGAACAAAAACGAATTAAAATTGGTAACCTTTCTGCAGTTTGCGGTCACCTTTTCGCTGACTTGTGATAAATAGCTATGGTGAGATCGCGAGAGCGACTCGATTGTTGATGCTGGCCTGGATTTTATTAAATGAGGGGGTCGGAAACTGCCGTATACTGCTGTAAATGGTTACATAAGTTTCAGACTAACTAACTAAAACTTTTAGTTTAAGCAACGTTTTTGGTAAAACGACTAATTATATCGTAGCACCATATAAATCATTGAAATTCTGAAAGCTATTTCACTAAGATCTGAGAAAATTAAAACGGGTAATTATGAGTTGTTGGCAGGGAGTTTTTTGTGGTTTTTGAATTTAAAAAATGCAAATTATTTTAGTTTTAAAATCTAATCTGACCTGAAGGACGCAGTTTCCCAATCGATTTAATGCAAATGCTAGGCGTATTTAGCAAGTTTTTAAAGAAGTTGAAATTTAAATTATTTTAAATCCCTAGCTGCTAGTGCGTGGACAAAAAATCGCCATAAAAAATCATCACCAGTTAATATCGATATTATGTATTTGCCTTAATTGTAATCAAAAAATAAAAACTATAAAAAAAGAGTCACTGTAGTCATCGGGATCAGGTCAGAGTGGTGGGTGGTGGATGGTGGGGGTCCTTTAAATGGAGCCAAGGACGTACTCGAGAGCTCGATTCCTACGGCCGCTCCTTCTGCCGCTCTTACCGCTCTTGCCGCTCTTGCCGCTTTTGCCGCTCTTGCCGCTCTTGCCGCCTTTGTGGCCCCATTTGCCCCATTTGCCGCTTTCTTCGCTGCTGCCTCTTCTTCCTTTCCCGCGTCTGCCATGGATTTTACCCTCTACCTTTGGCTTTGTGGTTTCCCCATAACGGTGTATAACAAAGATCTTCTTGGTGTCGGTGGCCGCTGTCGTGGTTGTGGCTGAGGCTGTGGTGGTGGTGTCCGCGGCGACAGTGGTTGTGGCGGCCGTGGTGGTGGTCGTGACGGCCGCGGCCGAGGTGGTTGTGACGGCCGTGGCGGGGGGAGTGGCTCCACTGGTCTGCCCGATCAGCAGACAGCAGACGACCGCGGTGGACAGCGAAAGAACACAGGTGAACCTCATGTTGGATGGCCAGTGGATGGGATACTGATGATTTGAGCCACACCGCCATGGCCTTTTATACTCCATCGCTCTGTTATATAATCCCCCCAAATCTCTTAGACGGAATATATAATTTGTAAGGTCTCACACATCAGAAGCAATTTAAGTAAATATTTGCACTTCACTTTCTAGGCTGTTTGAACAAATGCGCTGAAGCGAACAATTGCGAATTTTATTTGTTTTGCCAAAATCATTATCTTTGTTTTGGCCCAAATCGGCTGACACAGTTTGGCAGATGAGGATAAACCCAGAGGCGTGCGCCATGAAGATCACTGCAGAACTCGAACTCTCCATCTGCCTGAATCCACTGCGACCAAGAAGGTCAGGACGACGTTCCAGGAACAGGGAACCAAGCTCAGGAAGGAATCCCGATATTAAATTAAGGACACCGCGTATACACAATTTAATGTTTATAGCAACGCTGTAATATTTAGTTTAATAAGAAAATATATAAATAAGAAAAATACCACAACCTTAAATTTGAATTTCTATTTAAAAGTGGCATAATTTTTAAATTCTTTCAGTTTAATTCTCTATCTGCATTCACTAAAAGCTGTTTTTATTTTTCAAAATTTGATTATAAAATATATAAGGTAAGCCCAAATTTATTAAACAGCAGAGGACTTTTAAAAGTACTTATTTTGTTGAAGACCGATTTTTAACATGTTTCGTACTACAGAGTAGTACCAAATATTTATACGTAATTAGCCAACAAGTTTTAGTCAGTACACATATTTTACAAGTACAAAGGCTCTAAATACATTTTAGTGTTGGGAAACATAAATTAGATTTTCCCAAAGGATTTTCAAACCGAATCGTTCAGTAACAAAAAAGTATTTTGGAATTATATACTTAGCCAGCATCATTCAATTGTGCTCGAAATAAAATAAATATCGCAAGCATATTCTCATTTAAAAGTTCTATGTTGGCTGTTTAATCAATTGTGCAAAAAACTAAATGTTGCGAATTTTTGTTTGCGCAAAAATGGTTTTCTTGCTTTGACTGACACACTTTTGAAGAGTTGGCGTGGCATCTCATGATGCTGTATAAGCCCAGGTGCAAGAGCTGGTATAAAAGCAGGTGGCGGGTACCCAAAAGGGCATCAGTTGCTTGCCATCCAGCAATAGAACTCCCTCGCCATGAAGATCACCCCGCTACTCGTGCTCCTCGACAAGAGGAAAGTCCTAGTGCACTCGGGAACAATAACCAGACCAAAAGTTAACGGAACCATAAAGGGGCACTGGGGGTCCTCGGAGTCCGGGGAGTTCGGGGAGGGCAAGGGGTGCAAGAAGGGCAAGAAGGGGGAGAAGGGCGGCAAGAAATTCAAGTTCTGGATCTGAAGATCGCAGGCTAAAGTTAAGCCCACGCCCATCCTGACACCCCTTAGAACAAATTCTTGTTTATAGCTTAGCAACACTATTACCATTAGTTTAATTAGGCAAATATAAAAAATCAAAACAAAGTACGGGTTTTAAATTGGATGCTAATTCATGGCAGGGTCATAGGAGGATTCCCGATCGAAAGAATAGTCGGTTAAGTCAAGTCAAGTCTAAAATACCAGTCACATCGAGTTAAAGGACGATTTCATTTCAAATGTGTTTGTTCTACTAATACTAATGTTTAATATAATGTTTTCGTTAAACAGTATGTTACAGGTAGAGAATATCTTTTTTCTTCGCAGCTCTGTTAGAATCGCGTATTTAATTAAGAATTGCGTAAGTACTACGGGAACTAACTACAATTTATAAGCGGACTTAGATCGAATGATCCAGTCCACCACCACTGGGGAGTTCCCTCTGTATCCAAAGACGGTCTGCTGCTCACTCCCGTTTTATGGCCCGTGATCCGCCTTATATAGGGCTCGGCGAGATCTAGTGTGCCCGCCGCTTGTTGGGATTTGCCGGTATAAGTGTGGCCACCTCTCTCGGTCTAGTTTGCCCCTAAGCGCGCGATCGTTAGCGTTGGATCTTAGTTTGAATTTGAATTTAACGCTCTTTTCACTAAACTTTTTTAGTCTTTTTATTTTCATATCGATTTGTGCGCGCCCAGCGTCACAGGGTATATCAACTTCGGCTCCGCCTGAAGTTAGCTTTTCATTCCTGTTCCATATTTAAATATTACCAAATAAAACCCAAAGAACAAAACAAAATAAAACCAACAAAGTTATAATTTTTTTGAAATTTTTTTTCCGATTGTTCCTGTGGGAGCAATATGATATAGTCGCCCTATCCGGCTCGTTTCGACTTATATACTTCCTACAATAAAATACAACTTTTGGGAAAGTATAAAGCAGATAGCTTTAAAACTGAGGGACAGAAACGGACGGACAGACGGACTGTGATGCTGATCAAGAATATATATACTTTATAGGATCGGAAATGTCTCCTTCACTGCGTTGCAAACTTTTGACTGAAATTATAATACGCTCTGCAAGGGTATACAAATTGGTTCCAAACTTTTAAGACGGAGACTGTTTTTGAGATTGAACTGAGACGCATGGGTCTAAATGTTTTTTATTTGAAGTTCCAATTTAAATCAGTTTTAACCATTTTGACCATTTTGTCGCCATAAAAAATCATCATCAGTTAATATCGATATTATTTATTTGCTTTAATTGTTATCAAAAGAAAAACTATAAAAAAAGAGAGTCAATATAGTCATTGGGATCAGGTCAGAGTGGTGGGTGGTGGGGGTCCTTCAGTTGGATCCACGACGGGCGAGACGTTTTTTTCTGTGGTTCCTGCCACTGCTCCTGCCGCCCGTGCGGCCTCTGTTGCCCCTACTCCTTCTCCTGCCGCCTTCTTCGCTGCTGCGGCTTCTTCCATTTCCGCCTCTTCTGACATGTCTCGTTACTATTACATCTGGTCTAGTGATTGACCCTCTTCTGTGTCTAATATGGATCTTCTTGGTGTCGGTTGCCGAGGATGCCGTGGTTGTGGCTGTGGTGGTGGTGTCCGCGGCGACAGTGGTTGTGGCGGCCGTGGTGGTTGTGGTGGCCGTGGCCGTGGCCGAGGTGGTTGTGACGGCCGTGGCGGGGGAGTGGCTCCACTGGTCTGCCCGATCAGCAGACAGCAGACGACCGTGGTGGACAGCAAAAGAACACAGGTGAACCTCATGTTGGATGGCCAGTGGATGGGATACTGATGATTTGAGCCACACCGCCATGGCCTTTTATACTCCATCGCTCTGTTATATAATTATGGCGAAATCCCCAAAAATCTCATAGACGGAATATATAATTTATAAAGTCTCACACATCAGAAGCAATTTATGTATATATTTACACTTCGCTTCTTTGGCTGTTTGAACACATGCGCTGAAGCGAACAATTGCAATTTTTATTTGTTTTGCCAAAATCATTATCTTTGTTTTGGCCCAAGACTGATAACACAGCTTGGCAGTTGAGGATAAACCCAGGTGCAAAACCTGGTATAAAAGCAGGGGGCGGATCTCCAAAAGATCTTCAATTGCTACCCATCTAGCCACTGCAGCCAAGAAGGAGGTGGAAAAAACCCAAAGGAATGTGCAGACACACAAATTGCGATGCTTAATCGATGACACCACCACATTCTGTTGCTTTGCTTATTTTCCATGAGCTTAGTTATATAATACAAATATAAGAAATCATACCACAACTTAATATTCTAGTAGGGAACGGCTTAGGGCGGGCTAAGGATCTAAACCATCTTGTAAACCATTCCTTGTCTGTGCTTTGTTTTGAATTAAATTTCAAAGCTTAAGTGACTTGACTTTTAGTTGGCAGAAACAAAAAGAAAACCCGCTTGAAAAACAAAACCATTTAAAGCCATGTTAAAAATACTCTTAACAAGAAAGGAAAGCTAACTTCGGGCGAAACCGAAGTTGATATACCCTTGCAGAATACTCTGTAAATTATATTCTCCAAAATACTCATACTCACTTTCTAACTTTAAAAACACCAAAGTTATGGCATTTCCGATCGTTCAGTTATATGGCAGCTATAGGATATAGTCGGCCGATCCCGGCCGTTCCGACTTATATACTGCGTGCAAAGGAACAAGACATTTTAAACCTTGGAAAAATTTTAGGACTTTAACATGTTTTATTATTGAAAACTCATCCTGCAGAAATATGTTCTCAGGGCTTCTGTCATTTCTAATTATATTCTTTTCGATAAATAAAAACGACATTTTTCTTTCCCTTTATATTGGTAGCATTAAAACTTGAGTTTGACAAATATCACAAACAAAGCTTTTGTTAGAATATAATATTGCTTTATTTTCGAGTCAAATGTCTTAATTAACAAATTTGAAATCCACTGGGTTTCTGTCAACTGTTTAAATATTTGAAACTTATTGTTCGTCCATTTTATTTGAATGGAAAAATATTCTCTAACATTCTCTTCCACTTGTTTGAAGGCACTTTGACTTTGTGGCGAAGTATAAATTCAACTCGGCTGGAAATTTTTGTACGGAAATTGTATTTTTTATTCGTCAAGTTTATACCACTTACAACGTTGATCAATTCACCCATTCTCATGTTAGCTGTTTCAAAATTTTCGTTCACTTTAAATAGCTGACCCATATTTTTGACCCATTTTCATGTTACTTATTTCTAAGTTTCCGATGAGTTGAAAAAAGGTGACCCACACTTGGACTTCCACAGTCCATAACTTTACCAAATTTAGTCCGATTTCAAAGTGACATATTTCTTAAGACTTGTGCTTTGATTCTCTAAAAATCTACATTCAAAATTTTCATTTTAACATTGATCAAATTTTTGACCCATTTTCATGTTACTAATTTCTAAGTTTCCGATGAATTGTAAAAAGGTGACCCACACTTGGACTTCCACAGTCCATAACTTTACCAAATTTAGTCCGATTTCAAAGTGACATATTTCTTAAGACTTGTGCTTTGATTCTCTAAAAATCTACATTCAAAATTTTCATTTTAACATTGATCAAATTTTTGACCCATTTTCATGTTACTAATTTCTAAGTTTCCGATGAATTGTAAAAAGGTGACCCACACTTGGACTTCCACAGTCCATAACTTTACCAAATTTAGTCCGATTTCAAAGTGACATACCTCTAAAGACTTGTGATTTGATTCTCTAAAAATCTGCATTCAAAATTTTCGTTTTAACGTTGATCGAATTTTTGACCCATTTTCATGTTACTAATTTCTAAGTTTCCGATGAATTGTAAAAAGGTGACCCACACTTGGACTTCCACAGTCCATAACTTTACCAAATTTAGTCCGATTTCAAAGTGACATACCTCTAAAGACTTGTGATTTGATTCTCTAAAAATCTGCATTCAAAATTTTCATTTTAATTTAGATTCCGATGTCTTGTAAAATGGTGACCCACAATTTGACTTCTAGAGTCCATACCTTTACCAAATTTAATCAGATATCAAAGTGACATACCTCTTGTAAATTGGTTCTTTAGAAATCTGCATTCAAATATATCAATTTAACGGTGAGCAATTTTTTATAGTTATTAAAATCTTGCAGAGGGTATTAGAATTTTATTCAAAAGCTTGTAACGCATTGAAGGGTACATTTCCGACTTTATAAAGCATATATATACTTTATCATCATCATCTTCCATTCCAAAAAAAGAAAGAAGTTTTTGGATGAAGTATACATATGCCATATTCATTGTGACCCAATCAATGACCTATACCATCAATCAAAATAAAACAACCTTTTGTAAAATATGCACAAAACTAACACAATAACTTCACAGTGATTTATTAAAGGCACTTGAACAGAAAAAAAAAACAAATAATACTAGTGTGTTTTGTTTTTGTTTAGTACTGAAAGTAGTCATACTGTTGGAGGCTGGTAAAGGAGTCGATATAGTCCTCGGGGTGATAGTCCAGGCTGCGATAGACGACATCCCGCTCCGTGAAGTCCTCGACCTTGTAGAGTATCTTGCAGATGAGCAGCCAGGGCAGGACTGTCAGCAGCAGTTTCCATTCCATTATCTGTCGCTCTCGAAACAACAGCGGTTCCTCCGATGTCCGACGATGTACTAATTAAGGGGAGCTAAAGTGGATCCAGCAGCAATGTAGCCATACAGCCATCTAGCCATCAACCATATAGCCATATAGCCAGGATGTGGGTCAGTTTGTGCAGCTGCCGTCTGTCCCTGTAAACGCGGATGTTTATTCGCAAATGTGGGCAAATATGTGAATAACCCACTTTCATCCGCACAGCCAAGCAACCAGGTGGAATACTTTCAGGTGGCAGAACAGGTCGGAATGGGGAAAAATAAGTGGCCTTTTAGGGGGAACACAAGCTGTTGGCCAAGTAGAATGCGAATTTACACGCTAATTGACATCGAATGTCGGCAAAGAATTCGAGTTGAAATGTTAAGTGAAAATGGTATCAAAAACGAAATTACTAAGAGCATTTTAATTTTATTAATTGGATTTCAACCAAAACATATGGTGTTTTAAAATATCCAGATTATTGCCAGTATTTGATATACTATATATATGATAATGAAAATAAACAACAAACTGGGGAAAACTTGTTTTAGTTTTTAATACAAACTTTATTATAAGTTCGAAATAAATGTTGTCATTGAAATAAAATGGTTTTGTATTTGCCGATTGCTAATATCTTTTCTGTTTCTGTTATTTTCTTTACAGATCTCCGCACGAATAGAAATGTTTTTTCGCGACAGATAACTCCCAATCGAAGTGGGAATAATGCGTTTGGCGCGAATTACACAGAGTTTCTCGTTTAACAAAAATGCTGCCAAGGTGGAGGGGGAATAGGATTTAATTTTAAGCTCTTTAAAAAGAAAATGAAGAACTTTTTGTCTTGGTTATATAAATAATCGTAAATATTTTGATATACATATTGGAAAAAATATCTGACTGGGATAATATTACCAGTTATTTTTTATTGCTTTTGGATCCTAAACTTAACTTTTACGTCTTATGCAATTTCACTTTTATAAAGTTTTATTTTGTCATACACTGACATAAAACTTTATGATTGTATCGAACATAAAAGTTATGTTACTCACAAACCTAGTTATTTTCTAACCAAGTCAAAAAATCGAACAGGTGGTAATTATTTTTTTGAATAATTAAAAATGCAAATACTGATTGATTTGAATTTATTTTTGTGTGACATTTTTAGCATCGCGGCAGCGGCAGCAGCAACGGAAACGGAAACGGGATCGGAACCGGAAACGGCCAGGGGCTAGGTGGCAGCTGCAGTGCCAACGGCCTGGCAGCCAGTGACGGCGTTGGAGGGGGCGGTGGGAGTGGCAGCGGCAGCGGCGGAGGCGGCGGAAGTGGGAGTGGCTGTGGGAGAGGCGGCGGGAGTAGCAAGCGGAAATCAAAGACAAGAACAAAGTGCTTCGGTGGCACAGTGTTTCGGTGTTGCCTCCCTTGTCGCGGGGGCGGCTCCGCAGCCCCCGCCACAAGTCCGCCCCAAACACCCGCCCAGACGCCGGACGAGCCCAAGGTCATTCCGGAGGATAACAATCTGGAGAAGAAGCCCAGGGAGCAACAGGAGCGGAATAATCAGGCGCGCGGCGACCACACTAAGGAGGACCTCCTGCTGAACCGCACCGGATCGGAACTGGATCTGTACGGCGGCACCAAGAAGCACTCGCTGGCGGACACCATCGACACATCGGTGACGACCCCCATCTCCCTGAAGACCCTCATTAACGACGTGGACGAGGAGCTGGACCAGCAGCTCAGTGCGGCGGATATAGCAGCCGCCAGTTTGGCCAGCGGTCTGGTCGCCCGCCGAGCGGAACCGGAAACGCTGAGCGACGCCAGTGTCTCACCCACCGCGGTGGTGCAGCAACAGCAACAGCAACAGCAGCAGCAGCAGTTGCAGCAACCACTCCTGCAATCACAGCAGCCACATTTGGTGCCCAGCAGCGGCAACATCCTTAGCCAGGTCACCCTGTACAGCGGCAGCAATCCCTCGACGAATCCCGGCCAGAATCAGCCGCAGAATACGGGTCCCAGCCCAACAGCCAATTCGAATCCAAATCCAAATCCGAATCCCAATCAACAGCAGCGGTGCAGCTGTCCACCTCAGACTTCCCCATTGCCGCACATCAAGGAGGAGGAGGAGTCCGAGCAGGCCAACTTTAAGCACCAGTCGTCCCTCAAGGATCAGCAGGAGCAGCAGCCGCAGCAGGCCTTGCCGCCACCGATCACCATAGCCAGTGGCTACTGTGGCAGCTGCGAGAGCATCCACCACTCGTCGGCCACCTCGTCGTCGGCAGGTACAGTGCCCACTGGCAGTCAGCAACCGCCGGAGTACATTGCAGGTAATGCATGCGTTTTGGACTCTATTTTGATTAAGACTAGCAACAAATATTAAATTGTTTTTATCGATTTTTATAGACGTAAAGACTCAACAAATAAACATTTTTGTATATTTTGTTGCAATAAGAATAAAAATATCCAATGAATTGTGCTATTTATTTAGTTCTCTTGATACTTACCTTAAAATTAAAGAATTGTTTTTTAGATTGCTTTTGTGTTTTATTGTTACAGCAAACTTCAAAGTAAAAATAAAAATAAGTTCTGCAATAAAACTAAATAAATTGAAGAAATAAAACTCTATACAATATTTTGACACACATAAACTTTTTATATGGAATATTGTTGTTCTTGCAAGAGATTTTGTCAGTTTGATTAAAAGTACATAAAATAAAGACAAATTTTAGTTGTAATCTAAGATCTATCTTAAGTATTTGAAATCAATTATTGCACCCATTGATATGCATTTTGAATGGCAGGTACCTCCTCGACGCCCTCGCCGCGCATCAAACTAAAGTTCCGCAAGCCGCACAAGTCCTGCTGGTCGCGCATCGTCCTTGCGCCCATCGGTTCGGCGGGTGGCTCATCGTCGGCCACCACTGTCATTGGCAGCAACTCGAACGAGACCTTGGCCTCCAGCAGCACCACCGGCGGCACCGCCACCACCACCCAAAACAGCAGCAGCGTCAGCGTAGCCGCGCACCACCGGCTGACCTCCTCGTCGGCCTCCGCCCTCGCCTCCTCGCACCCCAGCAACTCGCAGCTGCTGCCCACCAGCAAGATGCAGGCGGAGCAGGGGTCCATCGGCGACCTGCAGAAGTACCACAGTCGGTACCTCAAGAACCGCCGCCACACGCTGGCCAATGTTCGGTGAGTTAACAAAAAATATAGTACCAACATACTGAAATACTTAAAATATAGCAATTTCATTTCGCCATTATGTGTTAGTCGAAACTGTCTTCTATTAAAGGAAAAATATGAAAAATAAAAATTATTATAAATGCCTTGCATATTTGCATTTGTTATAGAGCATGAATACATAGCCAAGTTCATCATTTGAGTTTTATCTGGTTGAGAAAGTTATTGATTGAGAAAATTATAATATAATTGAATTGTTAAGATGAGGAATTTTAAAATACAAGATTTTTTAACTGGCTTTATATGACTTAAGCCCTTTTCAGTATAAATTTGTATTTAATAGAAAACAATTTGCCAAAAATACATTTTTATATTGTTCGACGAGTTCATTTTGTTTACCTCCACGAATTGGTCATGCAGATTGCGTTTCCTTTTTTTATGATTATATAAGATTAAAAGTGATTTATAAGTCATAACGAGCGTAAACTAAAAAATAATAATAATATTGTATATCTGCTTAAATCGACAATCAAAGATTAATTGAAATGCAGACTCAAGACTCAAGCGGTTGGCACAAAAGACCGTTGAACTTACAATGCATTATTGTGCTTGTCATTTAGCATAATCCAATTTAATAGTAAATTGGAAATTCCAAAAAATACTACAAACGAGTACCAAAGTCCCTGTCCTTCGAAAACCTTGAGCAGACGCATTAAAACAGAATGAAAACTGTTTAGCGGCGGAGTACGAAACAGTTGGCCTTCAAGTAGGTCGTAGAAGACTTAAAAATTTTGCAAACTTAGAAAACGAAGCCCGACAAATAATTATATCGCCTTTTGGCAATGTTTGCACAACTGGTTGGTAAATTAAAGTATCAGAATGCCCAACGTGACCCGTGCGTCATGAAAACCGAACTGGAAACCCAAAGGCAACCCGGCCAACTGAAAAGTTAGGCCAATGAAGGCGGCCAATTAGCGACTTACAATGAAATCAATTTGCAGTTAGTCGACTTAATCGAATTAGAAAAGTTAAAGTGACAGAAACTTTGAGCCACCGCAGGAAGTTGGCCAACGGAGAAAAGCTGTTGATTTTTCCCTCTCTGTGTGTATGTGTGTGTGTGTGTGTTTGTGTCAGTTGGGCCTGAATAACTTATAGCCTGGATAATTGAGCAGATTGTGGGTGGCTGAAAGCCGTATCTTGAAAGCCAGCCATCGATAAGTCATCGACACCTGTTGTGATTTTGCTCCTATGCTGCAGCATTTGACAGGCATTTTCCTGCTCTCCACCACATTGTTGTAAAAATATTGTTGCTTAGTTGGCAGTATATTCCACACTCTGTCCATAATATTTTCTGATTTTAAATTGAAGCTTGTCGATGGGTCCTGTTTGCCGACCCTTTGTTCTTGCATTGTTGGGCTCTCCTTTGTAACACACATATTTGCTATGAGATTTAGAGCTGCCTCTGCTTTGTTGCAAAATGTTTGTGCTAGTAAAGATAAAATGTTCACAATTTATTTTGAGTGGTATAGAAAATATTTCCCAGAACGTTCTATACAAATGAAAACTCGCATTGTTCAATACTTTTTATATCTTCAAAGTTAAAGAAGAGACTTAAGCCCTTTTCAGTATGAATTTGTATTTAATAGAAAACAATTTGCCAAAAAATACATTTTTATATTATTCGACGAATTCATTTTGTTTACCTCCACGAATTGGTCATGCAGATAGCGTTTTCTTTTTTTATTTCTACCGAATGGGTTCTTTGCATTTTTTCTGCATCCCGAAAAATATGCAAAGTTGTTGTGCGCTGTTGAATCACACCAATACACCAATCAATTATTAAATCACGAGAAAAAAAAAGTATTTATTATGCATATAGTTCTGATATTGTTGTTGATAAGGAGTTTGTTTTTAGGTTAACCACGCCTTTTGGCGTTGTTCCTTCTGCGATTGCTGTTGTTGGATGCCTTCTTCTTGTTTCTGTTGTTATTGGCTCTCTTCCTACGATTGTTGGCCGCCTTCTTCTTGTTGTTGTTGACCCTCTTTTTGTTGTTATTGGCCTTCTTTTTGTTGTTATTGGCCTTCTTTTTGGTACTATTGGTCTTCTTCTTTGTTACCACCGAAGAAGTAGAGGAATCGGTATCCGAATCGGTATCCGAATCGGTATCAGAATCGGTATCAGAATCGCTAGTAGAATCGGTAGCAGAATCGGTATCAGAATCAGTATCATCCGAGGATGTGCCGTCATCCACATCGGTATCATCATCCGAGGAACTGGCCTCCGTGGTCGTGGTAGTATCGTCGGTATCACCCGTATTTGTATCCGTGTCCGTATCGGCACTCGCCACCAGGGTGACGAAAAGCCCCAGGCAAAGGAAAGTCAGCATCAGCTTTGTCAACTTCATTTCGGCAATATCTGCTATCTATCTCTGACATATCATCTAAGGTCTCGTCGCAATTTATAGTCAAAACTCCAGATACCGCTTTATTTACCCAAGCGAAGTTTCAAGACGAAAACAAAATCTGTCGTCACAAAAGACGTGAAATAACAATAGAGCGGGTAATTGGTCCCCGCTAATGACGGTGATCATTTGGATAAATAAATAGGAAATTAATTTGCAGATTTTGCCAGGTGGGTACAGAAAGTACTCTCTACCCACCAAATTAAAACTTGGTCTATCATTTTTACTTTAAAATATAAAACGGCCCACAAAAGCAATCACTCTTAAGAAACAACTAGGGACTATCTTCATAGGCAGAAAATCAAGAGCTTGGAATGCAATAAATAATTTAATTATTAATAACTTTGAGTATCTTTCATTAGGTATTGATATAAAAAAAAAGTTAGAAACACATGTAAATGAAAACTCCTTGTTTTAAATACTAAATTAATTTTATTAAAAGGGTATAAAAACTATCGCCGCAAAACAAATTATTTGCCCTTATAAAAAGCAATTTCATAAAACCATTTGATTTGCATACACAACCAGCACGCGCAATTTTTCCACAACTTGCTGTAGACAACATAAACTTAACACAACCATTATCAATATCAATAAGACTCAAACAGCTGCGGTTAAGTAAACTCAAGTTGGTGTTAATGTTAAGTTGGTTCAAGTCAACCAGTCGGGCCAAAAATGGAAAACAGACCTTTCTATCCTGCAAATATTTGTGGAAGACCTGCTCGTTCTACACTTTAAACATATAAACTTTTTAAAAACTTATAAAATTAAAAAAAATTCAATTTTTAAAGATTATTTTAGTCATCATTTTCTATCTGCTAATAAGTATTTCTGCTTATTAATTATTAATAGTTCTAGAAAATTTTGGAAAATTAATATAAGCTGTAAAAAAATATATTTTATTTATTATTATCTTTAAGCCGAAAAAGGTTTTACCTTTACAATTTTGTGCTACCCAATTTGTGATTAATATATATTGGGCTTATTTGGATTCTGTTGAAAAAATGTTTTGAGTGCACTTAAGGCTGTAAACGGTGGGTCAAGGGCGGATTGCAGTAGTATATAAAGAGCGTTTCTCGGTGGTGATTGCAACAATGAAGATGCGCTTTCCCGTGCTGATTGGTTTACTGGTGGTGTTGGTTGGGCTTTCCGCGGCGAGCCCGCCTCGGACAACCACCGTTAAAACTACAACCGTTAAAACTACAACCGTTAAAACTACAACCACCGCTAAAGCAACCACCACCAAGAAGTCCACCACTAGGGCAACGACCATGACCGTGCCCACTTCTACGGATTCCTGTGGACCCACTTGCAGTACCATACCGCCACAGACTGAACCATCTACTTGCAGCACAGAGCCACCGTGCACCACCCCTCCACCTTGCACCACAGAGCCACCTTGCTCTTGCAGAACAACAACGGAACCTTGTACAACAACAACGGAACCTTGTACAACAAGAACGGAACCTTGTACAACAACAACGGAACCTTGTACAACAACAACGGAACAATGTACAACAACAACGGAACCTTGTACAACAACACCAAAACCTTGTACAACAACAACGGAACCTTGTACAACAACAACGGAGCCTTGTACAACAACAACGGAACCTTGTACAACAACAACAGAATCTTGTACAACAACAACGGAACCTTGTACAACAACAACGGAACCTTGTACAACAACAACGGAACCCTGTACAACAACAACGGAGCCTTGTACAACAACAATAGAACCTTGTACAACAACAACGGAACCATGCACAACAACACCAAAACCTTGTACAACAACAACGGAACCTTGTACAACAACTCCAAAACCTTGTACAACAACAACGGAAGCTTGTACTACTACAACTAAACCTTGTACAACAACACCAAAACCTTGTACAACAACACCAAAACCTTGTACAACAACACCAAAACCTTGTACAACAACACCGAAACCTTGTACAACAACACCAAAACCTTGTACAACAACACCAGAACCTTGTTCAACAACAACGCCACCCTGCACCACAAAGCCTCCGCCTTGCAGCACTGAGCCACCTTGCACCACCCAACCTCCTTGTACAACAACACCATCACCATGCACCACAACTCAACCACCTTGTACAACAACACAACCACCATGCACCACAACTCTAGCACCGTGTACGACACCACCTCCTTGTACAACAACACCTGCACCTTGTACAACAACACCGGCACCTTGTACAACTCAACCACCGTGTACAACACCACCACCTTGTACAACAACCCCTGCACCTTGCACTACAACACCATCACCATGCACCACAACTCAACCACCTTGTACAACAACACCCGAACCTTGTACAACAACACAACCACCATGCACCACAACTCAAGCACCGTGTACGACACCACCTCCTTGTACAACAACACCTGCACCTTGTACAACAACACCGGCACCTTGTACAACTCAACCACCGTGTACAACACCACCACCTTGTACAACAACCCCTGCACCTTGTACCACAACACCATCACCATGCACCACAACTCAACCACCTTGTACAACAACACAACCACCATGCACCACAACTCAACCACCGTGTACGACACCACCTCCTTGTACAACAACACCTGCACCTTGTACAACAACACCGGCACCTTGTACAACTCAACCACCATGTACAACACCACCACCTTGTACAACAACCCCTGCACCTTGCACTACAACACCATCACCATGCACCACAACTCAACCACCTTGTACAACAACACCCGAACCTTGTACAACAACACAACCACCATGCACCACAACTCAAGCACCGTGTACGACACCACCACCTTGTACAACAACCCCTGTACCTTGTACAACAACCCCATCACCATGCACCACAACTCAACCACCTTGTACAACAACATCCGCACCTTGTACAACAACGCCTAAAACTACTTGCAGCACTCCACCTACCCAAAAACCTACAGTTCCGTGCGAACCCACCTGCAGCACCTGGCGACCATCCTCTGATACACCCAGCACTGCACCCACAACTGCACCCACCACTTCACCAACCACAGCAAAGCCCACAGTTCCCTGTGGATCCACGAAACAAACCACCAAATGTGGAAAAACCACAAAGCGATCACCACCTTGCGAAAAAACCACCAAACGATCACCCCCCTGCGAAAAAACCACAAAACGATCTCCACCATGCGAAAAAACCACCAAACGATCTCCACCATGCGAAAAAACCACCAAACGATCACCACCATGCGAAAAAACCACCAAACGTTCACCCCCCTGCGAAAAAACCACCAAAAGATCTCCACCATGCGAAAAAACCACCAAACGATCTCCACCATGCGAAAAAACAACCAAACATTCGCAAACCACCAAAAAGGTAACTACCCATCACCCGGGATCGGGATGTGGATCAGGATCTAAGACTGGCGGTGGATGCAGCTGTGGTTGTGGTGGAGGATCTGAATGCGGTTGCAAGGGTCTTTTGCCGCCCAAATGTCCCATTTGCCAACCGAACCCACCATGCAAACCCCAACCCACTCCAAAGCCATGTGGAACCACTAAAAAACCCCAACCAAAACCTTGTGAAACCACCAAAAAGTCCCAACCAAAACCATGTGGAACCACTAAGAAACCCCAACCAAAACCTTGTGAAACCACCAAGAAACCCCAACCAAAACCTCGTGAAACCACTAAGAAGTCCCAACCAAAACCATGTGGAACCACTAAGAAACCCCAACCAAAACCTCGCGAAACCACTAAAAAACCCCAACCAAAGCCACGTGAAACCACCAAGAAAACCCAAAAGCCACAACCGAAGGCCTGTGGAACCACCAAGAAACCCCAGAAACCTCAGCCCAAGAATCGTTGTTGCTGAAAAAAACATGACTCCGAAATGCGATTAGAAATATGAATAATCTATTATATATGTTTTTTTTTTATAAATTTATAAATGTTATTGATGTTGGTAATATAATTTTATTTTCTTTTTAATATTAATAAATGCAAACAAATAAAAGATTCATTGCAATTTAAATAGGGTTCTTGGAACATACATTTATGTTTCTTTATCGGATATCCGACTTGGAAAAATACATTGTACATTTAGAAGTTATTGTTAAATATTGGAAAATAGCAATTTTGAAGTTAAAAGATTTGGCATCCTATGGTAATTAAAATTGATTAAAAGGTGAAAATGTGATCAATTGATGATTAACAATAAACATTAATTAAACATTATATTATACAGTTTATAATGATTTCAAAAATTATATTATACCCACAATAATCTTTAGTAATTTGCAATCATTGAACAGTTTTAGGCTTTGATATTTTTAGATACCATTTTTAGAGATTTTAACAGATTCAAACTTGAATATTTAAAACGAAAGTTACTTTAACCAAAGCGCCGTACTTTCAGAGGCAGATATCCGGAGGCGAACCGTATTGTCTGCTTTATTGTGCGAATAGCCAAACATTTCTGCGCCGGAGTTTCACCTGGAATTCTTTTGTTTGGCCCACTTAACTGGGGGCGTTGAGAGGTACTTTTATTTTCAGCCCACTAAACACAAATTACACATGCAATTGTCGCTGTCCAAAGTCCCAGAATGCTGACAATGCCACAGATCCCACAGACCCACAGATCCCATGCAACCACATCGCGTGCGTTAATGTTGGCCATCAACGAGAGCACATATCGCCCTCTCTGTTCCGCCGACTCAGGTCCTCTCTTTCGCGCCCATTGTTTCTGCATTTTGCACGCCATTTTGTGTGGCCACCGCGGAAATGAACTTGCTGACAATGCACACAACTGTACACGGCCAAAATTGTCCACCAAATGTTGTTAATGAAAATATCCATCAAATTGGTGAATTGTTAAAAATATGTTAACAAATTATTAATAACATATTAATAAAATATCGTGTATAAAAAGATTTAAGTTTTGGAAAGTACTTCTTTC